TTTTATTTTATTTTACAATACCATTCAGTTCTACATATCAGCCACGGATTCCCTTGTTCTTTCCCCTCCTGCCCCCCCCCACTAAGTGTTTTTTTAATCTTAAATATACATTATTTTTATCACTTTATAGATCTCTTATTGCTTTAAGTGTTACATGTTAAAATTTTTAGAATATTTTCTTCAAGTGCATTACTGCTTTTATCTCTATTGATTTCTGTTCCCCACTGTTTCTAGGCCTAATGTGAAATTCACCCTTTTTTTCTCAAGAGCTGTTGATTATTTATTTCTGTGTAGAGCGATGTCTCATATATAGCCCACGCTTCCTTCATGATATGTTTTGAGAATTGCTTTGAACACCTAATCCTGCCTCTGCTGCCCAGGGCTGGTCAGACAGTTCTGCAGCTCTTTCCATTCTGAGCCTTGACTGTTCAGTGAGAAGGAAAAATAGACCAGTTAATGAGTGACCTCCAATCTCCCTGCTCTTAAGGGGACTTATAAATGAAGAGGGACCTGTGCAAGAATTAAGTTCATAAACCAACCTTGAAGTTGGTAGAGTCACAGTGCAGAAAGGGAGAGGCAGGACAGAGGTTGAGAGCTTTCCTACTTCAACAGTAGTTGAGAGTAGCAATGTGGAATTAGGTAATCAATTTCAGATGCTCCATAATGTCCTGATTGGCCATTTCTTGGGGTCCACAGACCAAGGCAATCTAGAATCTGGATAAAGAGTGACCTTATCATGAAACCAAATTGCTATGGTTATAGTAGTTCAACCACAATAGAAGATCTGTGTAAAATGTTATGGCCCTGCCTAACAGGACTGTTAATTTTCTAGTTTAAGATGTTCATCCTGAGAGAAGAGGTGTGAGAAATCTCAGATGTGCTCTAAAACAATCCCTAGTCTCTGGAGCACGTGGCCATAAACCCTGTTTCAACTTTTCAAAATAATTTTTGAGATCATCACTACATCATATCCACATTCTCTTTCCTGCCACCAAGCCCTGCCATGACCCCTCATTGTTTTCTAATGGCCTGTTTTTCCTTAACAGCAGTTACACAGTAAAACATGTACTGTGTGAATGTGACCTGTGTTTGGCTGCAGGATTTCCCAGCTATGAGGCAATGGGTTGGCTGCACTGGACATTGAGTGTGTAATGGAATGTGCACACAAAGGACCCTGTGCTTTGGATGAGGAAGAGGAGGTGGTCTGGAGAGTGGAAGAATGTCTACTAAAAACTTTCTAGACTAGGGCCCTGGCTGCTGGGCAGAGACTGTGCTGTCTGAGTCATTTGATCTAAGAATCCCCAGTAGGGAAGCTGTTAATATTCTGAGGCCCAGCTGGGTGGCCCTAGCCAATGAAGAACTCTGGAGAGGCTTATCAATCAGGAGTACCAGCAGCAGGTAGCTTTCAGGTACTTTTTGACATTCTCCTCTGCTTCCTCTGTAGGGAGTTGTAAGGAAGACCACAAGCCATGCCATGGTGAGTGTAGGGTATTGGAACAAGTTTGCTGTGTTGTCATTTCTGCTGGGATTTGGATGGATCATGAGCAAGACTGTGGTTCTGTTGGTCCATATGGTGACCTGGGCAGTGGCCTTTGTCCTCTGAGTCTCCCCATGTCTGAACTTGCTGGGGAGGGGGAGACTGCAGCCCTGGCATGGAAGGATATAATGCTGGTAATATCACTGTCTGGTGTGCACACAAGGGCACTGCTTTTGGTGTTCAGTGGGAAGAGAGATTGGAAACTGATGGTCTGACTTTTAGAAGTTCTGAATATGGCATTCCTCTTTCAGGTTTGTGTTATAAATGTTACATATGGTTTAGAAACTGGTAGAAAGATGGTGATGTGGATCATCTTTCCACAATACGTGTTTTGAATGCTTTTAACTTTCTGCTGCGACAGTTTGCTATAGTGAAGTTTAGCTCTAGGGGACAAAAGAAGTTTCTGATCGGCAGAGATTTCTCAGTTGTGCATGGGGTTGGGCAGGTAGATAGG